AGCTAAACAAACTAAGAAATTATGTGCTTCAGTATTTAGAGAATCTGAATTATTAAGTTTAATTCATACTGATCTAGGAGACTTGAAACAAACTGTGACTAGAGGAGGGAAAAAAATATTATGTTACTTTTATAGATGATTTTTCTAGATATACAAAAGTTTATTTGTTGAAAAATAAAGATGAAGCTTTTGATAAGTTTTTAATTTATAAATCTGAAGTAGAAAATCAGTTAGATAAGAAAATCAAAAGAGTTAGATCTGATAGAGGTGGTGAACTTATTTTGTTGAATGATTATTGTGAGAAAGAAGGCATAATTCACGAGATAACTCCGCCATATTCTTCACAATCAAATGGTGTAGCGGAAAGAAAAAATAGGACCTTAAAGGAAATGATAAATAGTATGCTTGTTAGTTCTGGTGCTCCGGATAATTTTTGGGGTGAAGCCATTTTATCTGCTTGTCATTTACAAAATAGAATTCCTTATAAGAAAACGGGTAAAACTCCTTATGAGTTGTGGAAAGGGTATCCACCTAATTTGAAATATTTGAAAGTGTGGGGGTGCCTTGCTAAAAAGTATGTTGCCTGATCCTAAGAAAAGAAAAATAGGATCTAAAACATCTGATTGTATGTTTATTGGGTATGCTGAAAACAGTGCAGCATACAGATTTTTAGTAGTCAAAAGTGATGTACTTGAAAATAATACTATTGTTGAAACAAAAAATGCTGAATTTTTTGAAAATATTTTTCCTTTAAAATTTGAGAAAAATTCTGATGCTCCTATTATTCCAAGTGATAATATTTCACATGATCCAATTATTCAAAATGATTTTGAAAGTGAGGGTTTAAGAAGAAGCAAAAGACCAAGGAGAGAAAAATCTTTTGGTAATGATTTTTATACTTATCTTGTGGATAATGATCCTTTAACCTATTCTGAAGCTATTTCTTCGTATGATGCCTCATTTTGGAAAGAAGCTATTGATGTAGAATTAAATTCAATTTTGCAAAATAAAACTTGGATTTTAGTTGATTTACCTCCGGAAGCTAAACACATTGGTTGTAAATGGATTTTTAAGAAGAAACTCAATCCGGATGGTTCCATTTATAAATACAAAGCTAGACTTGTTGCAAAAGGTTTTACCCAAAAGTAAAATATTGATTATTTTGACACTTATGCTCTTGTAACTAGAATTTCCTCGATTCGTGTTTTACTTGCCTTGGCTTCTATTTATAAACTTTTTATTCACCAAATGGATGTTAAAACTGCATTTTTAAATGGTGATTTGGAAGAGGAAATTTACATGGAGTAACCTGAGGGTTGTATAGTGTCTGGACAAGAAAATAAAGTATGTAAATTGTTAAAATCTTTATACGGTCTAAAACAAGCGCCTAAACAGTGGCATGAAAAATTTGATCAAGTATTGATTAATGATGATTTTTCGTCAATTGAAGTAGATAAATGTGTTTATACAAAATGTGTAGATGGTACATGTGTTATTATTTGCCTTTATGTGGATGACATGCTTATTTTTAGTTCTAGCCTTGATTTGGTACATAAAACCAAATTTTTCTTGTCTTCTAATTTTGAGATGAAAGACATGGGAGAAGCTAGTGTTATTGTAGGCATGAAAATTATAAGAGATGGCAATAGTTTGATGTTGACTCAAGAACATTATGTTGAAAGAATTCTTAAAAAATTTGATAATTTTGATGTGGTACCTGTAAGCACTCCTTATGATGCTAGTAGTCAATTAAAAAAGAATAAGGGAGATGCTGTAGGTCAAAATAAATATGCTCAAATTATTGGTAGCTTAATGCATTTGATGAATTTTACTAGACCTGATATTGCATATGTTGTGTGTAGATTGAGTAGATATACTCAAAACCCGAGTCATGATCATTGGAATGCATTAGTAACAGTAATGAAATATTTGGGAGTTACCATGAACTATGGTATTAAATATAGTGGATTTTCCACTGTACTAGAAGGATACAGTGATGCTAACTGGATCTTTGATTCAGATGAGACAAAATCCACTAGTGGTTATGTGTTCACCCTCGGTGGGGGTGTTGTGGCATGGAAATCAGCTAAACAAACAATAATAGCTAGATCTACCATGGAATCTGAGTTTGTGGCATTTGAATTGGCTGGAAATGAGGCCGAGTGGTTAAAGAACCTTTTGGCGAGTATTCCGCTAGGAATTAAACCGACACCTTCTATGTCGATGCATTGTGATTGCCAAGCTGCAATAGCCATTGCCAAAAATAAATCCTTTAATGGAAAAAGTAGACATATCCGATTGAGACATAATGTGATAAAGCAGCTGCTGAGAGATGGAATTATTTCCATAGATTATGTGAAGTCAGAAGTGAATTTGGCCGATCCTCTGACTAAACCTTTGGGAAGAAAATTAATATCCGAAACATCGAGGGGAATGAAACTTTTGCCAATTTGAGTTATATCAACTATGATGATAACCCAACCTATGTGATTGGAGATCCCATGAAGTAGGTTCATATGGGTAATAACAAGTCATTAGTTGATCAAATGTGCACTATTAAATTATATCCCTTCCTATGGTCTGTGTGCGTATATAGTGCAAGACTGCAAGGAATGAGAGGCTGAGTTATTAAACTCTTAATCTAATAATCCATAGCTTTTATAGGTGGTGTATTGTGCTGCAGAATACACTTGATGGATGGACCTATATGAGCGTGAAGTGGGGCCGCTTCTATGAAATTTGTGGCGAAATTTCTAGAGCACTCATGAAAACCAGGCGTGCGCATGGCCTATTAGCGCAAAACCGCGATAAACAACAAAGTGTGTGTGGGTATAATGTGATAGATAAGACACTAAATTTACGAAAGAATTCTTGGTTCATAGAAGTTCTAAACTTCACCAATTATTCTGTGAGTTTAATCTTATTTTATCTAGGTCTGGTTCATAGTCCAAGAGACACCAGATGCGACGCATTATGCTCATTTGTGAAAACCCAGCAAATTTAGTTTTATCTTATTTTATTATAATATTCTTTTTGAGCTATGTGGGGGATTGTTGAGACAAAAATAGTTTTAATATCTCATGAAGAATTGTTTAAAATTATATCTAGGTTCATTCTCTTAACATAATATTAATTGGTCTTATTACAAAATGCAACTGATGGCATAATTTTCAAATTACAAATTTAATATTTTAAAACTGATGATTGGAGGCCATAACTATATTTTAATGCTAATAAGTTTAACGTTATGGACTTAAGTCTTAACGGTTTTGGTATCCTTTATTGATTTTACCTTTTCTTAACAATATAAATCTATAGCCTTAATGGTTTTTGTTAGTGTTTGTGATACTGGCTATCTTATTCCTTTCTTATACGTTACTTTTGGTTTTTAATGTATTGTAATTGAAAAGCTTTTATGGCTTGGAGGTTTCTTCATTTTCAGATTGTTTTTTGGACTATATATATATAGAGAGAGAGCTATCAACTTGTTAATAGTAGTAGTGTGAAAATAATAACAACTTTTCTTCTTCTTTCTTTGGTGCCGGGTTTTCTTCTTATAAATCTTTGTTGTTTCTGTTCCTAGTTATACTAGAAGAGCTTGTTGAATCCTGGGGGATACGCCTAATATGATTCATCTCGGTGTGGGCGAAATATCCTTAAGGACAGTGTCCTTGACACGCCTCAAGCTAAACCTTTTATTCTCCGTAATCATCCAATTTTTCCAACAATCTTAAGGATATTTTACGTTGTCATTATGGAGAATAACGTTGCTAATGTTGTTGTTGATGCTACTACTCTTGCTGCACCAACTGTTTATGTTGCTGTTTTTGGTGGAGATAATTTTAACCGCAAGCACATTGTTGTTGACGAAGGAAAAGAAATTGCTACTAGAAGCAGCCTTGTGGAGGACAACAACCGTCAGAGAAAATCAAGTAACAGGTATGATAAAAGAAATGGTTATAAGCCCAAAACCAACAATCAACCTGGCCACTATGTTGCTCAATGCCGAAAAAGAGTTGGGAATGATAATCCCACTAAGGCTAAAGTAAATTTGACTGAAGCCAAAGTGGATGATATAATTGTGTGGATGTTTCCCAAGTGAACCTNTTCTAGCTAATATAGAAGAAAATCTATGAGCGGATCAATATATAAATATAAATATAGATATATAGATTAGATTTATCTAAGATCTATTTAGATTATATATAAGATCTATTTCATTCAACTACTTTCATTAATTGTGTTTCCATTTATAATTTCTAATTATTATTGTTGTCCTAAAATTGCCAAGTGGCTTCATTTTAACTTGCCACTTGGCTTAACCACATGCTTCACTACTCTCCTTTTAATATAGTATAGATATACATAAATTATTAATTGAGAATTCAATAATTTAATAGAATTAAATTCTAAAACCATAAACTTTAAATTTTGACTTAACCCCTACAAACAAGGTATTAATTACATATTGAGAATTATATTGAACGTGTTTAGGAATTAGACCAAGGTCAATTTTATTTCAAAATAACTTTTTGTTGTCCAAGGCTCCATGTCTTAGATTACGAAAAGCACAAACAAATTCACTAATTTGAAACTAATTTAATACAATTCTACATTGGTGAATATTTTGTGCCCGTTCATACTCACTTGTTTGACAGTTCAAATTAGGTCCCACTTTAAAGACACGTTTTTGGTCTTGTTCAAAATAAGTCAAGGGTACGCCGGAACGGTAGCTGCTTTAGTCTCATTTGAGAGTTTAATCTTCTTATTCCTACTGCTTTTTTCAAATGTAACAAATATCTTTTTTAAAATCAAACATTTACGAGAAAACTAAAAACACAATCTGACATATATTTCAACAGTAGTTTTTACAAATTATATCCACAATCCAAAAATATATATATTTTTTTCAAAAATTTATTTGTAATTATTTTTGAAATTGTATTTTCCTAACACAGACCCGGTTGTATCTTTTATGGACGCTCTCTCTCCGACCCGTACCCATTTCTTATACCCCAAAGCCCTTTGATTTAAAACAAGTTAGGGTTTCTCTTTCTCTCTCTTTCTGTCTCTCTTCATCCCCAGTTTTTTCCATCCGTCAGTAGCCATGGTTAGTTCTCTAAGCCATACAATGAATTCAACTACTTCATCAATCTTAAATATTTTACAAATTTCTACAATTTCCTTTACACATTATTATTATTATATACTGATGTTTTATTTTTGATTTTTGTGATGTGAAAATTATCAAAAAAAAAAAAAAAAACAGCCGCAGGGAGATTATATAGAGTTACACAGGAAGAGATTTGGTCGTCGCCATGATCACGAGGAGCGTAAACGTAAGAGGGAGGCTCGTGAAGTTAAGGAGCGCTCCCAAAAAGCACAAAAGGTCCCTCTTTTTTATCCTAATTATTTTTTTCAGCTCCTAATTATATTTCAAACCCCCCTTTATTGTATGAAACATTTTTGCTTAATTTTGTTTGTTTTGAAACAGACCTTGGGTATTAAGGGTAAAATGCTTGCTAAGAAGCGGTATGCTGAAAAAGCCCAAATGAAGAAAACGTAAGTTCTTCTTAATTGTGTAATTACCATTTTACTATTTATTGTGATTGTGTGAAAAATACAAAAAAAATGAAGTTTATTGTGTTGTGTTAAAAATTCAAAAAAAAAAAAAAAAGATTTTTATTGTGATTGTGTTAAAAATTCAAAAATAAAATAAAATAGATCTTTATTGTGATTGTGAGCATCATCATTTATAAAACTACAAACCACATAGTTGTCTAATGAGAGGTGAATGAAATGGTGAAAATGGAGCAGAATGAATATAGGTTTGTAGAGCCGGCCCTGGTCTAGTTTGGGGTTTGAGGTTTAGTTATTGTTGTATATTATACTAAAATTTATTGTTCGAATATGATAGCGATCAACACTTTTTTTGAACTAATATGCACACATTTTACATGAGTTTGAATTACATGATCACTGAGACGTAGTTGTACTATGCCCGCGTTTCTCCAACATGCTAAATTGACTATTCAACAATATTTTATTTAAATAATCAGAATTAGTTTCATAGCCCAAATCAAACAGGCAACATTGTCAATCCTTGATGGAGCAGTTCCCCGTTCGTAATATTTGTGTTAACTAATGCTCCTATGGTTGGTTATTATTGAGATTATGAGTGCTCTTTAGGTAAAGAAAATGTACCTACTGAAAGGTTCTGTATCTTTGGTTTAGTGTTTGCTTTTGAGTTGGTAAAAGAACCAGCTCTGCTTTACAAACATCAGCTTACTTAGTGTTCGTTTGGATCAATGAATCAAGATCTCACATTTGAAGCTAGATACCGGCATTCAATTTTAGAGAGTGAGGCTTAGCCCGTAGCGGAAAAACGTAATATGAGTTTTATGAGTTCTCTGATTTTCCTTAGTGTCTCCTTTGCTTCTAGCTATTATGCGGCTGCTATTCTATGTTAAGGTTCCAGAAGATGGTGCTAGTACTCTTGGTGAGGGAGGTTGAAGGAGAGGTTGAGGTTGAAACATTTATTAATTGTTTCCATTTCAAATCTATTCAACTGTCAGACATAATTTCTCTATTATTTAGCAGTTCTCCACTGAAATAATTGTAGACTTTGTCTGTGTTGAACTGGGGG